CTTTTTGTATTGCACCATAAATATTCCAAGGTATTGTGGAAGTTCTCCATAGTTCAAGAGCTTTCTCTTAGGCACAGGTTTTTGGGTGATGAAGCCCACACATTGAGCCAGAATTTTAAGCTCCCCACTCAGTGTTGAAGAACTTTTCTACATTAACTTCTAGGCTTCTCCATAAATACTCTGAATGCATGCAGCAGAACTATTTATGTGGATGGAATCAGTAAATGGAGAGAATTATGGCATTTGCTGCAAAATTGCACATTTTCTCCAAGTCATGACATAAATATAAACACAGAGGATTATTGTTCAGCTCAGAAGTGCAGTCCACATGACTTGGATCAATCTCAGTTGATGGGTGTGTAGCCTCTGTCTTCACTCAGGATTGTGTTTGACCCTGTGTCTTCAGCCACCTCCACTCAGCATTTCCTTCTTTCCCAGCTGCAAGCTCCTCAAAGACTAATCCTAATCACCAATATGGCTGGCAAAAACTCTGTTCAGTTTATTGGAGATTTAATGAGTCACTGTTTTTGTAAATACCATTTGGGGGGGCAGGGGGAGAGATGAAAGGAAAAAAAAAACACCTCTTACATTTTGGAACCACAGATGTTTGAAGTGTGTCTTGCACATGTGGGTACAGAAAGAAAAGAGATGGCCAGCATAATTCCCATTCCATTTTTTTTTCTCCTTTATCAGGAAACTTTGCCATCATCATACTCTACATGCAAAAAAAATTTGGTCTGTTGTCAGGAAAAGAATGAAGATGAGAGAGGAATCCTGCCAGCGGGAATTTCTCAGCACTGGTTTCCTGCATAGCAGTCAGCTTTTTTTATAAATAGAACCTCATTTCATGCAATGATATAATATTAATCTGTCACTGTGTTTGGCACAGCCATAGGATAGTGAACTACTTGTTTGCTAATTACCATTTGAGCTCATGCACAGAGCACAGTCTGTGATAATATTAGCATGGTCAGAGTCACAAGTCTGTCAGTGCCAGCAACAATTCACTGTCTGTTTCCAATCTCTGAAAGTGTTGTATCTGCATCCTCTCATCCCACGAGGTAAAAATCCTGGCTCTCTCTCCTAGTATGAATAATTTGTCTTGTCATTCACAGCCCTAGAGGAAAACCATGTGACAGTTCCTGTTAGCTGTTCACAGAAGAAAAACTGTTTAAGAAGAAAAGCAAATATATAAGACATGTTTAAGTACTGTTTATTAATCATTTTTAAAAGTTTAAAAAGCTTCACCAGACTCTAATATGTAGGAGAAAGCAACAGTTTGGGTGGTGAGGCACTGGAAGAGGTTGCCCAGAGAATCTACAGATACCATCCCTGAAAATGTTTGAGCCTGGATTGGATGGGCTCTGAGCAACACGGTGGGTGAACTAAATGGTCTTTAAAGTCTCTTCCAACACAAGCAAGTCACCTTGTCATCACAGGAGAGGAAGAAATGGAGGAAACCCAGGGCCACCCTTACAAAGATAATAATCCTGGAGTTTTCTCAAGCAACCAAAGGGAAAACAATGTGGATATGATCCTTGCAAGTTTTACAGTTGCCCAAATGGTTCTGAGTGGTGTCAGTGATGCTAGGCAGTCATTCATCAATTCCCCCCTGCTGCCTATCGTGAAGGCCCTTGGTCAACTGCAGAGGTCCTAGGCTGGGCTGCCTGTCAGGAGAGTGGTGCTGATCTGATGTACCCAGATCACACAGAGGAGGCTGCTTTCAACCAGCATACATTTGACTTCTTCCTGACTTGAATCAAAGAGTCTGTAGGAACTGATGGTTTAAGGGGTTTTATTTAGTTGGTGAACTTTTCAAATCCAAAACTTTCTGAATTCACTAGAACACTATTACTACTTAGTATTAAAACAGTAGTGGTTTTTCTTACATTTCCATTTCAGTAATATTGCCATTACAGACAGTGGATGTTAGACAAAGACATGGGACCTATGTTAGTGTTATAAAATCATCTCTTGGCAGTTTCACTGAAATTGCATAAAATTATTTCAATTGTACAAATTTGTATAAAACTGAAAGTAATTTCCTTTTAGAGAAAAGTCTTCTAATCCTCTGTAGAAGAATTCAAATGTAAAAATTTCTAGCAATGCAAAGTAGATCTGTAGGTGGATTTCATATCTGTCTTTTCAATCTTGTAGCTGATAAAAGAATCATTACTTGTTTATATTATTGAGAAAGTCTGTATTCTTAAAGGCATTCAGTGCAAAATATTCCCTCAGCAAATAAGGCTCAGGGTTGACTGATCCTACTTATGTTACCCTCTACAGGTAAGGTATGATTCCTGCACCTAAAGATGTTGACTAAGCAGTCATATAGTGGAAATCATCTTAACTGGATAACGAAAAGAGAAAATTACAATAACCCCTTCTTGATATCTGTCTTTATGCAAAGGAATCTAGTCCAGACACCATTTACCTGTGTGTCTTATTACCAAGAGAAGCCCAACTTCAACTGACAGAATGACTCCACAAATTTAAGCAAGTATATCAAAGAATGCAGGAACAGAATTCAGGAAAGATGAGTTAATTGGAAATCTGAGGAACACAGCTGGGAAGTTGTACACTGTATTCCTGAGATAAAAGTCCACTTTTTAATTACCTATGCACAGAAGAACAAAGTTAAATTACTTTAAGAAGTACTAATAATGTGTCTGATGTGCTGTGTAATAAAAAATTAACAGAAATGTTGGTATTTGCTAATTATTTATGCACAATTAGCAGAAAAATTCCACATCTATTGATCATTAACTGAGCATTAAGCTTTCTCACATGTTAAAAATTATTAATAAAAGTAAACTGGCTTTGGTATTTGCTATTATATAGTAAATGAAACTTTGTCAACAGTTAGCTGGGTAAAAATGGACATTTTCACAAACAAAAGATGTCTGCATTATTTTAATAGAGTTCCTTGCAAGTGTAAGGGAAACTCCACTTTCTGGAAGTGTGTGTAAGCAGCTCAAGGAAGTAAATTATTGTACTGTTTGTCTCTAAGGCCTTTGAAAGATCTTATATACTTGTGTAAATGAGTTAAGGCAGGCAATATGTCATTTACAATTTCTCCAACCTGCATGTTCTGAGTAGATTGGTTATTATCTAATCTCCCACGTTTCTAAGCCTAACTGTCCTTGAAAGTATTATAAGCTGTTTTATTTTCACACAAATTAGCTGTTCAGGAGGAACTCGTCAAATGCCTTGGGTGCACCTTTTACCCCATGTCAGATGTTTTCTGCAGATATGCTTTCAAGACATTGACTACTGCAATTTTGTAGCTGTCAAATGGAAAATACAATTCCTGAACTCTCTTTACACATCCCTCTTCCAGTATTTCATCATATTGATCCATTGTAAGTCTGTTTTTACTTTGTGGGCATTAGAGGTATGTAAAATGATAGTGCCTATGCTTGTTCAGGAAAGACAAAAAACCTGTCACAACAAGAAGAAACCAATCCCACAGTGACAGCAGCTGTTGGTTGCACAAGCTACTTGGTGTATAAACTGTCATTTCCAAACAGAGGTCTGACTCAACAAAAACTTAAAAGGCTGAAAGCTACACAGTGCATTCTTTTCAATCAGTACATTTACCTGCAATTTTGAGCATATTTCATCAATATAATATTAAGATTTATAAAATAAGGTTTAGGATCCATTGAATCTCATCAGCCATACAAAGATAGAAGGGCAAACGATGGAAACATGCCTGTTTCCAAGTCACTAAAGGTAATTGAAAGGTATTTCCAAGTCACTAAAGGTAATTGATGAGGTAACTAAAAGCATATGGATTTTCTGATTGCCTTAAATGCAATAAAAACTGCAGAATGAACCCATTCAATATAATCATTATTTTTAGAATTTTTTTATGCTCCTTTATTTTTGTATGCTGTCCTCTCCTGCTGAAGGTGACTCTACCTGCCTTCAAGACAGGCATTACCAGAAAAATTTGGAGATTTTTGGTCATAGGTCAGTTCATACAACACCAAGCCTGCTGGCAACAAATAAGGTCCACCTGCCCCAAAGAATTTTATGTCAGGAGTTAGCAGAGCTCATTGAGAGAATTTTAAAGTGGATTTGAAGGAGAGTGAGGGCATAGTCAGGCTTGACAGACATAAGATATAGGAAGGAGAGAACTATGGAAACTACCCTAGTAACAAAAGAAGGCTTAAGAGAGAGCACCTCAAATCACAAGAAGCCAAAGACATAACCACAGACAGGACCGTGGGGGATCCCTTTCCACCCTTGCTGGGAGACTGACACAATCAAATATTTCCATAAAACGCCTGTACACTAACACTGACAGTGTGGAGGACAACCAGGAGGAACTAGAGATCCGTGTGCAGTCACAGGGCTTTGAGCTCATTGCAATTACAGATGTGGTGGGGTAGCTGCCATGGCTGGAATGTCATCACAAGGGGCTACAGAGTGCTCAGGACAGACCAGGCAGGTGCTGGGGTGGAGTTACTCTCTGGGAGGCAACACTTGGAATGCATCAAACTCTGCATTTGGGTGGGTAGTGAGAAAGTCCATTATTTATGGTGAGGATAAAAGTGCAGATTGCCATAAATGGTAGGTTGTTTTTTCCTCTCTTTTAAACTGGTTGTTTGCCTTACGACTTGACAGTAATCCATTGTTACCTTTGAATATCCAGCTTATTAACCATTTTCCCTTTTGGTTTTGATTGGTACTTTCATATTGTATGAAGAAATTGGTCCCGCCAGGAAAATGTGGTTGTACTGATGCAAAACCTGACCAGGGATTCAGGATGTAACAGCATTTTAAGCAAGGTGTGCAATTGATGTTGCATCTTAGGGTTTTATGTTAAATACTTAATCACAGCATTTAATTCAGTGACTTGTTTTTTTTTAGTAGCCTAGCTTTGGAGTTCAGGATGAAAAAGTCTAATGCTTTAATGATAACTTTGTAGGTTCTCATCAAAATGAAAGCTTGGTCTCATTATCCCATTGTTCTCCTTTTCTCTTTTCTCCAAGCTGCCTGTCTCGTCCTGGGTTGTATGATTTTTCCTGATGGCTGGGATTCAGATGAGGTAAAACGGATGTGTGGTGAAAAGACAGACAAGTACACGCTGGGGGCTTGTTCAGTCCGCTGGGCATATATCCTGGCAATTATTGGAATCTTGGATGCCCTGATCCTCTCATTTCTGGCATTTGTGCTTGGAAACAGACAAGACAGCTTGCTAGCAGAGGAGCTCAAGTTGGAAAACAAAGGTAGGACTGCTTTAGAAACACTATTGTTGGGTGGCCTCAAGGGTAATTGCTTAAAAACAATAATCTGTTCCAATTTCATTTTATGTTGTGCTTAAAAGTTGGCATGCTGGCTTACTTCCTACATTGTTGGGAAAGAATAAATGCAAGGGGCAGAGGAAGTTTTGCATTTCAGCCTCCAAAAATCTCAGAAAGCTCAAATGTGATGTAATTTCTGCCCTATGCATGAATTATCCTTAGCTTTTAGAGCTGTAGATGGAATGTTATTGTGCTACTCACTTGTACAGTATTTCATTAGCATTTAATTTTCACTGTCTCCATCTTTTTCTGTACCCCGTGCAAGATTTGTTCACTTGATTCCTTTAGGATTTTGCAATGTAATATGAATGTCTGTAAAATGGCATATGTGTTAGCACAGAACACAGTAAGGGGGCAGTGAGCTGTGTAATGGGACTGCCCATACAGCAGCAAACTGGTGGGCTAAGGATCAGAGCCTGGAATGAAGAAGAATCCTAGTTCTTGCTTGAGTGTGTTGCTTTGAGCTCATGAGTCAGCTTATGGGAATCTAGGATGTAGTCATTGAATACGCATGCAATGCTTTGGGGATAAAACTAATTTTTAGATTAAGTACATGAAAATGTCTTGTACCAGTAATTTATTACACATTTGCAGGAATAGAGATGTTTTTAGTAAGTGTGCACAAGTCTGGCTTATTTCTGCAGCCCCTTCCCCTTGTGCTCCCCTGGCATCCCAGCTGAGTATCTGATGGGATAGATACCACAGAGGGCATGTCCCTGCCTTATCTTTTTAATGGGCCTGTTGTCCCTGAAACTGTCTAATCCCTTCTAAACCCGCTGATACTGTCAGCTGCTCCAGCACTTCATGGCAGCAAGTTCCTGAAGCTCACTACTGACTGCTAAAGAAGTACTTTCTTTTATCTGTTTCAAATTGATCCCCTGCTAGTTTCACTGACTGTCCCCAAGAGCAGGATTCTGCATTCAGCTCATCTACCACCTCTGTAATTTTGTGGGCTCCTTCTAATAATAGCAAAGGTATCAGGAGCTTTTCACCACTAAATTGCTGTTTGGCAGCCAGTGTTACGTGAAAATAGCTGGTCTCAGTCCTGGTCCAGAGAACCATTATCTGTATACCTGACAGCACTGGTACAGTGGCCCCTGCTTGCTGGATTGCAGTCAGCACACTCAGCCCAAAGATAAATGGACTTGAAGATTGAATATCACATATGATTGCAGTCCTGGATGGAGCCTGCTAATGTTGTGAGTTAAGGAAATTGTGTTTCACTTGCAATTGCACATGTGCATCTGTCCTGCAGGTAAACTGAGGACATCAGCTTCAAGAAATATCCCTGTGACCCTTTCCTGTAAGGATAATATTAATCTGCATTTGAAAATCAAAATACTTATCAGAAGGGCATTCACTGCTATACCACAAGTGCTTTTGGCATCACCACTATGTCTGATTTGTCTATATCATATAGATCTCATGTACCCAACACTACTTGTATCAAAGAAACGCATCTGTTTTGGCACCTTATGAGCAAAAAACAGCTTCTGGAGCCTCATCACCTCTCACATTGCTGGCACAAACCCGTGCCAAAACATTTGGTCCTCAGCATGTCAGAAAAAATAATTTAGCATCTCAATTTCCTTGGATTAAACACAGAAACATACCACACCATTGGCTTCAAAACAAACCAGAACTCAACAAAAATGGACCTACCCCACTCTGCCCTTCACAATCAAACCTAATGATCACCACTGTTTAAACTGTCTTTCAAATTAAGTGACAAAGAGTCAACTTGGCCTCTAAAAAATACATTCTCTCCACCCTTGTCACAAAAAGCTTCTGCTAAGCAACAACAGAGCAAATCCAAATCCCCCTGAGCCCCCCAGCATTTACCCACCTGTATGTGTTGCCAGCAGGCACAGCCTCAGCCCCAGGGAGACCCAGCAGAACACAGCAGTGGCATCACTGAAAATGCATGAGTGCTTTGACATTTACCCCATAAACTACATCCCCTTGGCCCCTTTCAGATTAAGAGATAGTGGAGAACTACTCATCAGCATTAGTTCACATGCAGAGTATCCCTGCATCTCTTGGAAATGGTCATGATGTGAAAATAATGCTCTATGCAAATAGCACTAGCATATCTGCCATATAAACAAAAAGAGTATGGATACAGCCAATACTACCCTCAGCTTTCCACGTGCTCCTACAATGTGAAGTCAAAGCCCTTACAACAAGTAACCATGAACCAAAACTTGCCAGCTCACCTGCCCCATGGAAGGATGACAGGACAGAATCTTCAGCTGTCATCCTTCAAAAGGAAAATAGCTCAGGATGCAGTGAACATGCAAACTGCTGCAAAATTGCAGAGTCCTGCTTATCAGCATGTAGTCTCCATGGCATGCACTCACAAGGCAAACTTGTTCAAAATTAGGTATATTAATATGAATATTGAGACCCAATTTAAGTTTTTCTGGATAGCTACAACATATAAAAGAATTGCCAGCAGCCCTCATAGTAATAAAGAGTACAAATGCAGACAGAACACCCTATATACCCCTGTATACCCATGTTCTCTGTCCAATATAATTATACAGTCCCTTTTTTGTAAAGTTATGTACCTCCAACTCCTCCTGATACATAAAAAGTCAGTGTATGCTCATTTTCATTTCAGTTACGGTGTACATTACAATAATAAAAATACTTTCAAAAACAAAAGGCAAGATTTCTGTTAGTCCCTTCCCATTTTCAGACTGGTGCTTCTCTTCACATTGCTCATCCCCTCCCTTCCTTCTTTTCTAAAGAGTCCAAGAGTCAGTCACCCATTTCAGACTCCTGCTGCTTTGCTGTGCAGCTTTTTGGTCAAAGCACTTAAGGTGATTATGAACTCAGAACAAATTCAACCACTTGAATTCCCATTTGAGAAGGGAAATATCCAAGAAACTCACTGGGGAGGGATCTGTGATAGATTGCTATAGACAGAGGAACCTGGGACTATGTTAAAAGGTTTATTGTCTTGCCTCAAAATAACAAGCATTAAGGTACCCTCATTTTCAAAGGCAAAATCAGACTTTTCTTTGAAGCCCACAGTCATAGGTTCCAGGCTGGGAACTCCTGGCCCTCATTTCTAGTTTCAAAACATGATTCCCTGCCATGTCAGCCAAGAACAAAGTTTTGCCACAGCTGTGAAGAGCTCAAATGTTCTCTTTGAGCTTCAGCTGGTAAATGGCTCATCTAGCATAGCACCACTGCCAGTAGATCCACTTGCTAATTTCCTTGTTCAATTACAACCTATTTTCCTTTAGTTATCACCTCCACAATAACCTCCAAGTAGTCCTGAGTAGACAAGTAGCACCGGACATATTTCATTTCAAAACCTGCAAATAGAAGCCAGACTAACAGATTTTTTTATGCTTTTCTCCTAAATTTTTCTTCTTTTGATAATAGCAACCATTCTGCTATGATTTCTACTACATAAATAATATTGCAAAAGAGAAAATCTAAAGATAACTGTGGAGATTTTATTGTATTTGGCATCAGACAGAATGTAATCTCTCCAGAATGAAGGCATTCATGGCACTGCTGTAGGACCTATGCCCACAGTATGAAGTTTCATCCAAGGAGAAAATGAGCAGTGATTGGACCACATCCAGAGCCTTCCTGTGCAGTGCCTCAGTGTCATGTACTCTATTGCCCACTGTGCTTGGAATTCTGTCACACAAAGCAGAACAGCACCTGCCAGAGGACTTTTGGCTCCCCCCTCCACAGCAGCCTATGGAATGTTGTGTAGGACACTGATCTTCTGCTCCCCTGGGTTTGAGGGTGTTCACTCCTTAGGCAGAAGGTTTACAGATTCCAGCCCTGGTCTCTAATGACAAAGTATTTTGGAGGTTTTAATAGAAACTGAGGGGAAGAAATGGGAGAGTGAGATCAGGAGTCAAGGGGTCTTGACACAATCTTTGAAAACACTTTAAGATCTTCCTTTTGAAAATGTCTATCTTTGGTTTTATGTTCTTGTGGGAAGCACATGTCTATGTATGCAATAAACTACTTAGATTTTTCTCCTGGTGTTGAATGGAACTGTGACAAACGTTTTGGAGTGTTATTCAGAAAGTGGAGTTCGATTCCTGTTTCTCATACTGGATCTATCATTTGATTTTTACATTTCTCTGTCTTTTAAATGGGAAGAAGTAAGACTGACTTTGTTGGTATTTTGTGGTTCAGCAATGAAAGATGAATTAGGAAAAAGTAAATGATGGTGAAATTGTTATTAAAATATGTATTCCAAGATTAAGGTCTGATAAAAGTATTTTGTCAAGGAATTACTTTGCCAATATGCTTAATGATGATACTCTAAGGGGAGGCAAATGAGATATCAAGACTAAAAGTCAAAAGCTGATTAAAATACCTTATTAGATAAAGGTCAATCTTGCAATAGTACTGATTGATACATCAGCTGATCCAAGAGTTCCTTTCCAGCTCTACTTTTTATAATGAGAAAATAAAATTAGTCCTAAATACATGCATTAATTACTTAACTTCAGAAGTTGGAGACCATGAATAGAGAGTCCTAGTTCCCCATTGATTAATGAAGAAAGAACATAGTGAATTGTTTTCTGTCTCACAGGAAGATGTATCCCACTTGTTGTTACCCTCTGTAAGGGCTCTCATACAATAGCCCAGTTAAAGTAATTCTCATTCCATTTGATGAGCTCATGATATGATGGACTTAAAGGATGGGGTCTTATAGGAAAGCTTGCACCAAAAAAAAATTAGGCAGCCTCAAAAATGCTTCTTAAATGGTATAGCTAACTTAATGCACTGAACAGGCTCTGGTTTAGCTGAAAAATTCTGTAGTGCAGCAGAGGGGCAGGACGCATGGGAATGGGTGATAAAGATATTACACAGTGCTGCTACAAGCTACAATAAAATCTCCAGCCTGGTCAAGATGAGTCCATAGTGAGCCTGGACAGATC